CCTATATCCAGCAGAGAAAGTACACCACCGAAACAGCAGCGCAACATATGGCAAAGGGTAACCAGACACGAGGCTTTCACTCTGGCAGTGGCGTATTCTCACCTCTCCATTGGTGAGCAAGCCTATCAAGTGTGCCTGTTATGAATGCCCATCTCAACACTCATCTCTTTATTCAAGTGCAGGGATATCGTACTACTCAAGAATGAGTTTTGGAGAAGAAAACATCATGTCATTATCTGCTAATTCGGAATAGCATCATATTACATACAAGGTCTCTAAAAAGTGTCCTGAGAACTTGCTAGAGATCTGTTTCTTTTTTTTGAAGCCAGCAAAAGAGAAGCAGAGGAAGAAGATACAATTTCCATTATCCGGAAGACAAAGGCAGCAGTTAACAGTGAGATAGTATTATTAGTTAGGGCAGAATCAAAAACAAACTCTTTTTGAAAGAGTAAGGTGGTAATGGTATACTTTAAATCCATATGTGATGGAGTAGTGTACATACGGCACGGCCAGCACTAACTGGAGGGCACAAACAGAAAGTTTAGCTCTTTCCTTACTGCCCTCTCAATTCTACACCTAAATAAAGGTAAAATCAGCATTTTTATTTGACCAGCCAGCAAATTAAGAAGTCCTCTGCAAGAAAAGGGACAAACACATCCAGCCTCCTCAGAGAGGGCATATCCCTTGTTGACTGGGAGCCAGTAGCAGCGGAAGCATACTGGAATCATGCGGATAGACACCACAAGCTCCAACCACATCCTGCGCAGATGCTGGAATTAGTACACTCATTTTCACACCCCAGGGATGATGAACTGTAAGAGCTACCAGTTAGACCCAACAAATATTTAGCTTCAAATTAAAAAAAAAAAAAGGGGGGGGGATCTACTTCTTGAGCAACTGTTTGGGGTAACTTCATTTACTATTTAGATCTTTACAATGTGGGCAAATACAAGAAATCTCAATTGAGCACACGTAACTGTTCTGGCAGTCTGGGAACTTTTAATACAAAACACATTGAGCAGCAATAGAAGGTCCAATTAGTTAAATGGATACTTCCTGTTCCTGTAGTCTGCCCTTAAACTTCTTAGCCATAGACTAGTATTAGACAATATTAATATGCATGGTACACTTTCCTTTCAAGAATCTGGAGATACTTCATTTATAACTCAAGAAATTTTTTATTTTTGAAGAAATATCAACGTTCTAGTTGACTAACTCGTGAAAATATACAAAGCACCTGCTGGCACTGCATGTTACTCATGACTTTTACCTGTGATGACAGCAGGTTTATTTTAATAAACTGCAGTGCTTCAATAAGTAATGGATGTGTCTACTGAACTAACAGATACATATATTTTAAATATTAATGCTACATCCAAGCTAGATGAAAGCATTAAAGAAGATAGAATAAGGGGTTTATTAAGCTGGGCATTTAATGCCCTGAAGTCAGCTAACGGCATGCAAAGTAGCAAATCCAGTACTTGGATAAAGCAACCAGAATGTCTCCTGCTTTCCTTCAAATTTAATTGCTATCACCTATTGGAAGCTAAAACCATTAGCTGGGACTCGTTAAAAAAAGTTTGATAAAACTGAAAGTTGCAGGAGCAAATTAACAACATGGCATTTGCTCAACTGTCGTTATTGATTATGCTTGTCCACCTACATAGCAAATGTATAGAATTAAGTGTTTGATGTGTTACAGATGCCGTCTGACTTTCATCATATTGAGCAGGGGAGGAAAAACAAAACAAGACAAGACAAAAAAAATGCTATTACTGCCTTTGGTTTGCTGAATCAGGAGCTAACCACTGGTAAAGAGCTACTGGGTTCAAGTTTGAGACTACCTGTCTTCAAATTACAGACACCGATTCTTATGTTTCTCTCTGATTTTTCCAGTTCATTGAGGTGATACTAACCAACCAGTAATGATTTGCCTCATCTCCACTAACCTTTTTCTAAATATGAAAAGAAAATAAGCATTTTGCAAGGCTTCTGAAGTTTCCTTAGCAGTCTAAAGCTTATTAAATATGATTAGTAGATTACCAAGATCCCAGAAGGAGGAAAGGTTACTGAGTCTGGAAACCTTTCCTAATAGGCATCACCTAAGCCCCCTGAACTGTATGGAATGTGGTGGCCTGTTTCTTTCCAAAATACAAATATTTATTGGTTACCTCTTCACATTTTTTTTCCTACATATCTGAATGAAAAATAAAGTCCTACAACTGTTACAATATCCTTCTGCACCTAAAACATTTGAACTCTTCCTCCTTAACCATACCAGCAACAGATTCCTCCTGGCCCTCAAATTTCCATATTGGTTTCTAATACCCTTCTGTTCCTATCCACCTCCACCACCTTTTTTCCTTTTGAAGTAAAGGTATCTATTATCTTAATGGACAAGTTTAGTAAAAAGCCCCAGTGAGAGTGAATCTAAGTAGTCTTTATTAAGGAAAAAATGCAATTTATCATGAAATCAGCAGTTAAAAATATCATTTTGAATACAGTACACAGAAGCTATGAAAACTTTCTAGCACTAGGAAACCAAAGCTGTTTGCAGTTGATGTAATGGCATTTTCAACTCCTCTCCCACTGTCAAACTGCTTCTTTGACTCCTGTTTCCTCCAGTTACTGTCTCACCAGTCCTTTCCTTCATGGCACGCATTGCAGAAATTTCCAGATCTAGTTGCCCAGGAAGACATTTTCCTCAGTTGTTGCAGTGCTGAAATTTGCTATTTTCAGCCACAGTTTCTCCTTTGGTCTGGCAGTTGCTAGCACGCACACCACACACCAAAAGCGGTCATCTTTCAGCAAAAATGAAAAGAGGGAAATAACGGTAATTTTCACTTTCTATATTTGTCTAGAGCCATGGCTACAACTAGCAAAGGATAACATACATCTTCCCTAAACTCCTTCTAAAAATTTGCCTGCCTGACGACTGACGTCTATCTTAGCCTCACTACTCAGCTACTGCACATTACTTTTCCTTTCCTTTGTAAGCATTAAGATTCCTGGAAGCTGGATAGCCTTCCCTAAGCAGCAACAGGCTTGTCTTGCCTGACCTGTTCTGGTCTCACAGTCCAGCCACATGATTCTCATACAAGTCAAATGATGGACCAAACGCACCACTCAGCATTTACTTCAGAGAACTGACATTCAAAGTTTTATCCCCTGAAGTTTGCCGTCCGTTTTGATGCCCTTGCTCAAACTGGTCATGGCTGCTGGAAAGTGGTCCAAATCACTATTTGTATCCTATTTTAAACGCAAAACAAGCTTTCAAAACAGGGAGCCACACGCTGCAGCTGCATCAGGGCAGTTCCAGGTTTGCTGGGCTATGGCAATGCAGGGCCTTGTGAGTGAAAACGACCAGCAAAATCAGTCAAAACTCAGTTTCTTACTTTTCAACACAAGAACAAATATATTATAATAGCATCAAAAATAAATATGTTAGAGGAAACCTTTGGAAAAGTAACCAAACTTTGAATAAGGAACCTACTTCAGCTCTGTGCTACAGACAGGATGTTTCTTTTCCCCATATGAAAATAAGCCCCAGAACTGAGGTTAACCTGGTAAAAGTAACATGGTTCCTAGATGCGTACTGGAGATAGCTAGGGCTTATTGAACCAGAGAACCTCAGAGATTAAGCAAAAGGCTCCTCTCACGGTTCCTAGGAACTACAGACGGCGAGGGAGAGCAGCGATGAAGCCAGGGCCCCCTGCAGACGATGCTGCTAACAAAGAGCTGCTGTTTGCCCTAGCGGGAGCAGCGATAACTACGCCTTGGGCCGGCCAGAGGGACATAAGGGGCGGAGCAAGCATTTTACATATGACCTACAAGAGCAGTAATTTCACATCCCTGGAAGACTTTAACCTCCTTTCACCTTAGGTACTCCTAAAAAGGAGAGCAAACTGCTCACTCAGAAGTTTGTTTCAGTCACTTCTCCAGCACTGTTAGCCTCAGGAAGATGCAACTTCGGCTTGCCCCCTTTGTACACACACATTTCACTTACAATGCAATCATAATACAGAAGTTAACTGTGTTTCCCAAATGACCCAGACTACAATGAGATAATTAACTGCTCATGAACAGCTATTCATTGAAAACCTCTCAGTGTATTTGTTAAACCACTGAAAACCTTTATTACCATGAAGTAATTTAGAGACTGTTTTATTAGATTAGTTCTTTTGCAGCTCTTCTGCACCGTGACTAAAAAAACGTTAAGGTTTTCTATCAGCTGAACTTGCAAGTTCAGCGGCTTTAAAAAAAGAAAACAAGAGAAAAATCTTTCCATCTGCTGCTTCCGACTTGGCCACATGTAATCTGTGAAATATTTATATTCTGCTCTTCTTTGTTTATAACTAGCAATGTCAAACCTATTTCTTTAGTGTTCATGGCATATCGTCTATAAAATAGCAGCTCTGCCTTTCATACATGCAGCTACATTGTTCCTTCTGGAATAGCTTCATTTGCTGAAGCCAAGCTCAGTCCACCAAATAATATATTATGAATGCAATAAAGATTTTTCTAGGCTCCCTACATAAATGAATGTAGACATTTCCAAATTCTGAAGCAGTTGTACTCTATTCTTAAACTTGTTACATAAGTAATTTACAGTACAATTTCTTTTGTAGTCAGTCATCGTTAATACAGTTGGCTGTATCAGCAATATGATTTTCTATTTTCCCAAAATTTATATCATCATATATAATGACATAACATGAGAAAATTTAATTATTCTGGACTCTTAAAAAACAATGGCTGTCTTTATCAGACAACAAAACAGTATAAAATTAAGAAAAATACTTAAACCACATATTGGCATAACAGTTTTTCACAGTTTTATTAAATAAATAATTAAATTCTTAAATACTAAGAATAATATAAAATTATTCTCGGTCTCTCATACAAATCCGCATGCTGTTCAGGACTTTAGAAAAACAGATGACACACTAGTCCAGTATCAGAAAACCGTGGGCAAGAAAGTAATCATGAGGTAATCCTACCTGAATGACTGTCTTTACTTCAACATGGACTTAAGATATGCATTTTCCAGACTGTAGAGCTGAGAATCTATCAAACCTGATGGAAATAAAGGAAAGGCTAATAGTATTATGACATCTGCTCTATTCAGAGTTTGAATACTAAGTATTTTCTTGTTTTTGTATTAAATATTAAGAGCATAAAATTAATGCAGTTAACATAGCAGCAACCTTTCTTCTTTGAAGTCCTGCAAAAATAAGAAAAGTCAGAAAAAGAAACTCTTAACGGTGGGGGGAGCAGGGAAGAAATTTCAGTTTGCAAATTTGTTCTAACTTCATGTATGTCCTAGGTAAAGTGTTAAAGTTGTAATCAACCAAAATGACTGCAAAATGTGGTACAGGTCAGTTTTATCTTTACCAGCATCCATAAAACTTCTTGTATGTACAACCGTATGTGAACAAGATGTAGATTCTGGTCCAAAATATCATATGAAAGCTTCTCATTACACTTAAAGCCCATACTAGAAAAAACCTCTTCAAGCACTTTCGATTTCAACCTGATAGAAAAAATGTTTTTTTCATTGCTTCATTATAGTTAATCATTCTGCTTTGGAAAGTCATCAGAGCCGCCAAATCACCACTAGCCGAGTATACCGACATTTTGCAGATGTCTTTTTTCAGTATTCCACCCGGTATTACGCACTGCCTATTTTGTATACAACTTAAAAGACCTGCTGTCTGCATTGGCAGTAAACCGCAGGGGCAGAAATGGAGTAACAGAGGACAGAATGCGCTCCGGGAACAGAACCAAGGCAACCCTGCTACATGTACTGCAAAAATGTAACAGTCAAAACAGAGTTGAAAAGGTCAAATCACGGCTATTCTTTCAGTGTTCGTATTTCACCTCATCTTCTGCACTCCACCTGTGACAACGTCCAACTTATCCAGTGTTCAAATGATCACTTTACTGATTACCTTCAAATACTGATGTCACTGCAAATGTAAATGTAACTAGTTTACTTCAGAAACAACTCATTGCAAGATAGAATTATTATGTCATTAACTGTACTGCATAGGGCTAAAAATTAAGCTAAAGCTTTAAGTTCTGTTCTTTTAGACTAGCAAAAAAATCCAAGGATAATTCTTTGTCTTCTTTTATGATATCCTTTAGCAAAGCACTGTCCAACTCTTCATCTAGACTAGATTTTTAGCTTGACCTGTGATTTCATGTAGGTTACTAACAACTACAATATTGGAATCATATTTAACATATTAAAAAAAAAAAAAAAAAAAAAAAAAAAAAAAAAAAAAAAAAAAAAAAAAAAAAAAAAAAAAAAAACCCACACACATATTAGCTTTCAGAGCTAAAGAGAAAGGTGACAAAAAGAAGAGGCTGGCCACAAAAAGAAGATGTGATCTCAAGAGACTGAAGATACCTAAACCCTTTTACATTAGCAATTCATCTTTTCTCGAGGGCCAACAACTGGAAGATGCAGTCGATTCCATAGATGATTCATAAAGGTATCGTAATGGAGACCCCTAAACCAGTTTCAGGACAAAACTTCAGAGTCCCCAGAACTAGTCTGCTGAATGCTATTAGTCAAGAAGGCATAGATTTTGTTATCCTCACAAAGTGGGGGGGAAAATTCAAGTTGGGTTGTTTGGTAGCTAAGCATTTAGATACATAAAATATAGGTACACTTCAAGAACATCAAAGTAAAGTTTTGTGCATCTTTAGACATGAGCTATTTTTGCTCTCTGCTGTTTTTCCCCTACATGCAAGATTGCTAGCTGAAGTAAAGAACACGTCAAAGAAACGTCTCTATCATTTCTTTGCTTATCAAGTGGTTTCCAAGGACAGCGAGAAGTTGACCGAGTGCTTCATAGTAATTGTCCAAAGGGCCCTGTAAAATACACAACTGCACAGAGTCGGAGCTGTTCTCAGTCCCGCCATGCAACCAACATGACATGGGACAGAGATAGTGGTTTTGATTGCCAAGGGATGTCAGGGATGCTGCATTATAAAAGTCACTTGAAACATGTTAATTAGTGTCTGCTCCTTACATCTGAACTTCACTACTAAAGGGCAAGGCAAATCTTAGATGAAGTGTGCTATTGCTCGTGATTGCAAACGCTTATGTTCCACTGAAAACAAGTATAAATGAATCATTATATTTATAAAATTAAAATTAGGAAGGAACAAGTTAGTGTGCTACATCTTTTTATTAATGCAGAAGGAGCAGGAGCAAATAGGAAGAAAACTTTCCAGGAGACAGAAAAAGTATATACGCTGTAGGCTAGAATTAAGCTGTACTGGCGTAACTGCGTGGGAAGTTTTTATGACTCCTACATATAACACATCAAGTTCTAGCTAGTAAAACTTGCTTAATTCACCGCCACAACTTTTTAAAAGAGATACTCTAAAAGACAACTAACAGACATTTTGTAAACAGCAAGAACGGCATTTTTCCTAGTTTTACTTATTATCACAGTAGCTTCTACAGTAAACCTTGCTGCAGATGAACCAGTTTAGAGGGCAGATGCTACTGAACTACTTTTCATAGCTCCCTTTTGCTCCCTTCCATATGCTAGAGAGAACTTAGAGGCTCGAGGATGCCTGGGTGCTTGACATACAAAAAAGGAGAGATTTAACACAGGAAAATAGAATCAAGGCTTGAGTTTCAGCAATAGGCAAAGTTGCAACACCATAAGGACAGATGGGAGTTCCTGCAGATTCCAACAACGTCTTCACGAGAAGCACAGTACTCCCACAAGGCTTTAAGGAAAGTACTGAAACTACCACTTAGAAAATATGCTTGTGATTGTTTCCTATCAGGAGTTGAGACATCCTATAAATATTTTAAGAGAAATGCAAATAAGCATCAAAATTAATAGTACATTTATTATCCTTCTTTACCGACTCCTGGTATCAATTTTTGTATCATGCTCTTACAAAATTACAGCTCTGACACTGTCTAATCTAAAAATTACATTCCAAATTGAATGTTACTACACAGAAGACAATTTGTTATGAACATAACATCATACTAGCTGTGGTGTGAGGCCCATCTAACCTAGTATCACATCACTGATAAGGATGGCTAGTGGCAGCCTACTAGAACAGGAACAGAGTAAACATACAACATTTCCTTAATATACTCTGCCACTTTACAGCAATCTGCAGCTCTGGGACTTTCTCTGTCTACTTTTAAGCACATGCACATAAATGAAGATGTGTACATTAGAGTTCAAAGCTATTCCAAGTCCACCATCATTTAAATTAACTTTTCACCTTTCCAGCTCCTTTATTTACTCCTTTTTATTCTAATGAAAAAACAGGCACAGTTGACATTGATTAATTCCTTTCACTCATTCCCTAGCGTTACCTCACAGTTTAAAGCCCAAAACCTAAATTAACTTTTGCTTCAAGGCGGCTTTTAGAACCTACATACAATCTCCCATTCTGAATGCAAAAAGACTTACTCAATCCTAATATTGTTATTTAGCCAAATCCTAAAGTTAATTAAGTGACAGATTAGAGAGTTGACCATCCATATCAATTAGAGTCAACAAAGCAAGCCAACAGCTTTTGTAAGTGAATAATGTAGTTGAAAATTCAGTAAGATCTTTCTGTAAATATGGCCAAGTTTTACACATCACATCACTGCATTAAAAGGCAGCTGAAGGATAAAGAGAATATTTCATATCAAAGTTAATTACTGTATTTTAAAACGAACAACTACAAAACATACCTGTTTAACAAAACAAAAAACCCAACTATGCCTATGAGCAGCTCTCATTAAAACGGGATTATTGATCGAAGTACACTTAAAATAAGGACTCTAAACCTCATCAAAAAATCCAACTATAACCAAATGCTTAACTTAAGTATTTAAGATCTTCATGAGGTCAAAGGTGCTGGTCACTGCCATCCAGGCTATTCAGTCTTCATAAGAAAAAAATAAAATCACTGAGAACTATTGTCACTGAAGTTATTCTGTATTTTATTTAGAGGTAAGGAGAGGAAAAGATGAGACGAGCTGTTTAAGAAGTCAAAACAAAAAAAACCTCTGGAAATGCAAACAAGTGTTTTGTTATAAATACAGACTACATAAAAAACAAAGCTAACAATTCAGAGTAGAGTATTCAAGACCAGAATGCAATTGGGTCTGCTGCTCTTCAGGGCTTCTGCATGAAGTGATCATAATTTACACTCTTTACATGAATTCACAAAATTAATAATGCTATTTAGAAGCCTCTTTGAGACTTGCCCGATATAGAGTAAATGTAGGCATTAACAAAAATCAGGAAGGAGTGAGTTTCACACAGGAACTAAGTTATTCTTAGCCCATTCATAAAAATACCTCATGGTACTGACGACCTATAAATTAAAGTTTATAAGTCTCTTGAGTCCAGCTGCACGGTCTGATGTCACTTCATGGTTTAGTTACATCCATGACTTTTTATAAATCGGCTCGCTTCAACTATTCCCAATAGTCCCTTAGGGTTTGGGGTTTTTTTTCCAAAGCAAGAACTCGCTGAAGCACGCGTGCTAACTCAGCTCGCCTCAGCCCACGCCTCCCGACCTGTCCGGCTGCGCTCACAGGTGGCACCCACGGAGAGGGAGCGCAGTCCG